GCACTGCCATCGATGCGGTGATGAGCGAGGGGCCCAGCATGCGCGTGAAACCTCTTCTGAACACTACGCGGCTACACTCAACACAGATCAATGCAGCACTATTGACAGGGCCTCATTCCTCCGTCCTCACTCCTCCTCCGTTTCCATCTCGGTCCTCATGTTCCTTCTTCTGCTCCCTCACTGGAAGATAACATACATGTTCCAACATCCTACACATCCCTGATCAAGGCAACTCGCCTGGACTTCGGTGGTGACAGTGGCGCAGTTAGCAGCCACCCCCGAGTGAACTACTCGAGGTCGAGTCTGGGTCAGCGCAGTGCGTCGCCCAGTGGCACCTCCCATAAGCTCACGAAAAGCGACGGCAGTGGCGCAGCGGGCAGCCAACACCAATTGCGCAATTTGATGCACACCTGGAGCGTCGCGTCGCTCCTCTGGAGCTTCTCTGGAGCTCGTAGTGTCGCTCCTGAAGCTCCTCTAGAGCTTCTCTGGAAAAAGCTTCAGGAGGAGCGTCGCGTCGCTCCTCTAGTCTGGGTGCGCGTATCGCGCCGCTCCCCCGGAGCTTCCAGGAGCGCCCGAAAGCTGCGACCACTGCGCAGCTGGTAGCCACCCAGGGAGGCCGAGGTCTAGTCTCTGTGTGTGCGTGGCGCGGCGCTCCGCCGGGCCTCCCAAGGGCGCGCGTGCGTGGTGGACACAAAAGAGCAGAGGCCGTGATACAGTCGGGGCGTTGACCTAAGGAACCCTAAATAAGGAACGAGGCCCCTTTTTTCCATAAGTTAAACTTCGATTTCCTGTCGAAAACATAAGGAAAGCCTGAGGCAAGCTGTGAAACACGTAAGGAACGCGGAGCCCCTACCCAACGAAAAGGGTTCCTTCATCAGGGCCCCGACTGTAACACAGCAGGCGAGGGGTGGCGGGAGGAGTCGTGCAACCAGTGCTCTATTCAAAGCGAGGGCCCAACCAAAGAAGGGTGGGGAACTCTCAGAAGTCGACCGCCAGGCAAACTCCGCCCTCGGACGTGTCGCACTCCTCTTGCACCACCGGCTTCTCGCATGTTTCTGGCCCTCGCCTGTCTTGAAAGTCCTTGACCGCGCGGCTCAGCGAACGAGAAGACGCGATTCGGGGGGCGGCCGAAACAACAGTACAAATCCTCCCCCCCCGTTCGCCGTGCAAAGGCAGGGCAGCCAATTGACGTCATAATATCGCCGATGGGCCAAACCACGCGCCATGGTCTCCGACCAGGGCGCTGACTGCTTGAAGCCAAGAAGGGGGCGGCTATCATGTCACCAAGCTGCCAGGACCGTTCGCACAACACGATCAAAGCAACAGCGGCCCCGCCTCGACGTCGACGTTGACCGTCAGAAGAATCCCGTCTCGAGCTGTCCCCCAAAAGCAATCACCACCCTTCTCAGCCGATGGTTGCCGGTCGAGCCGGCACCGATGCAAAACCTTTGCAGCGATAGCAGTCACGCTCCGTGTGGTTCGCGCCCGTCTGGAGCGCCGCAGCCTGTCCACAGCAGCCGCCATGCTCAGGCACTGCACCGTCAGCATGGGCGGGCGCCCCTCCCGGCCGATGCCCACGAGCGCGGCGACGACCGCGCCGATCGGTCCACGGATGCGCCGCCGCCTGCGGCTCAGGCCGGCTGCCGGCAGCGCGCCGCGGACGATGGGCCAAGCCCGCCGGCTCCTGGCCTGGAGCTCGGGCACCGTCCCCCACAGCTCCTGCCACGAGTCGAAGTCTTGCACACCCTGCGAAATGGTTAAGAAATCATGGGTTAAGAAATTCATAGTCTCAGAACTTGAATAAAAAACCCAACATTTCTATTAAAATCTTGGGATTTACGTTGAAACATTAAGAATAATCGAGACTCTGGCCGAAAACGTAAAGTTTTCTTAAGCATCGCCTAAGGTGTACCCTGAGCTTGATGGCAGGGTCCTCCTCCAAGCCAGGTGCGAGGACCCAGGCGAGGCAGCGCAGGAGGGCGAGGAGGAGGGGGAGGAGGAGGAGGAGAGAGGAGAGGAGAGATGGAGAAGGGGCAGGACCAGTGTAAACCCAGGACGGAGTAACGATGTTGCAGTACACCCTCCCTTCAAGCTCCCTCTCCATATGTCCCTAGAAGAATACACAACCAGCAGAGAATCCTCAATCGTGCGAAGACGCCAATCCTGGCTTTCAGCGCCGCGGATCAACGTGACTGTCGCGCCCCGACAACCCTAAATCATGCCAGAACGCAATTCCTAAGACTAGAACACAGAATCAACGTGACCGTTGCGTCCTGACAGATGCTAAATCGTGCAAGAGTTGCCTGGGACCTCGACCATACGAACCCTTCAAGCAGCTGTTATCTTTGAGACGAGTGCGTGAGAAGCTGAAGCGATAATCAGATTTTGAAAAAGAACTACCCTCCACAAGCGAAACTGCTGCATACATGTAAAACAAAAGTGCGGGGCGTTGGAGCGAGAGTCTCTGAAAGCGGCCCTCTCTCCATCCGTGAAACTGTTGCATGCTTTTTAGACAAATTTGCGCGGCGCTAAAATGACAACCAAATTTTGAAAACGGCCCGCTCTCCATCTATGAAACTGTTGCAAACGTTTGCGGCGAACGTGCGCGGCGCTGAAGCGAGAACCACATTTTGAAAATGCCCCGCCCTCCCTCCGTGAAGCTGTTGCAATTTTCAATTTTTAGGATCACTGAAGGTGAGGAAGTCTCAACTGAAACGCCCGGCCCGCGCTACCGACACGTCTGGGGGCGCGGCAAGGGAGGAAAAGGCATGGAGGACGAGTAAAAAGTATGAGAGAGAATTGGACGCTCCTCGATCCTACACTTCGACCCCTTCCTGTTCCTTCGCCCTCCTAATCCTCTCGTCCTCCTCCTCTCCTCCTCCTTTACTCCCTTGTGTCCTCCTCATGTTCGTCTTCCTCATCCGTCCTCCTCCTCCTCCTCCTCCTCCTCATCCCCCTCCCCCTCTTCCACCGTTCCTCCGCTTCCTCCTCCGTCCCACTCCTCCTCCTTTTCCTCCTCCTCCTTCTCCTCCTCCTTCTCCTCCCCCTCCTGGTCCGTCCTTCCGTGCTTTCCTCTCGTCCCTCCTCCCGCCTCCGTTTCCTTCGCTTCCCTCCTTCTCCAGCCTTGTCCCTAATACGCATATGTTCCACTTCCTCCTCCTCCTCACCACCACCATTACCATCACCATCACCATCACCATCACCATCACCATCACCATCATCATCATCATCATCATCATCATCATCATCATCATCATCATCATCATCATCATCATCATCATCATCATCATCATCATCACATCATCATCATCACCATCATCATCATCGCCACCATTACCATCATCACCATCATCATCATCATCATCATCAACATCATCAGTGTCATCACTCCTACGAAACAGCCCTCACAATAGCATGACACGGTCATCGAACTGAAACTATATGTACAAACCTGTGAGAAACATGTGCTGCCAATCTCGCCGCCGAGCCGATGCAGCTGCCTCAGCTTGTCGTTGGAGCCTGCGTTTGACACCCCTCACACTGCGGGAATCAGCCCAATCGTATAGCAAAGGGCTGAATACTTCATGATGCTGCAAATCGACCACCTCGATGTTGCAGCGTGGCCTGGCTCGACTGGCTCCGACAGAGCTGTGCTGTGAAACCGGCGAGTCGCGTGGACTCCAAGGAGTCCCCGGGCCCTCAGGGGGTGGCCGGACAGGGGCAGAGAAGACAGGAGGAGCCATGCCGGAAGCGACCGTGTCTGAGAGACCTAGAGCGCGTTTCCTTATTTATTTTTTTCCCCCATGGAACGCATTAGAGCAAGGGATGGGCTCAGCCCGCAGGCCGTGAGGGGAGAGCAAGACGTCCAACAGTTTACACGCCTAAAGCCGCGGATAGGCCGGTACACCCAAAATGTGGATGTGAATCCACATTTTGGGTGTACCGTTGGATGCCGATAGCGCGTTTCCTTATTTTCGGCGATGACGGGCGTCATGGGGGGAGGGGGGGGGCGAGGGGGGGTATGACGTAACGCCCCCCCCCCCCCCCCGTGTGACTCCGGCACCACAGCCGCGCCCGCGCGCAGCACGACGACGATAAGCGATAAGCGACGAGCGACGACGACGAGCGACGCGAGGAGGACGACGATGACGCGCGCGGCATTTCGGTGGCGATCTGCCCCACAGAGCCGTGACATTGCGGTTTTTGTGAACCGCAATGTCACGGCGCATACTTACAGGAGCTGAGTTGTGCACGCGTAGCGCAGCCTGCTCAGAAATACCGATGTCGTTAAATGACTCGTCTCACACGCTGTCCAGCTGCTGCAGAATGCCCCGCTTAGCGTAGCAGATCGCCCGCATAGCCCGCTCGACGTATGAGAATGTGGCACTCGTACAGCCTGGCAAGCTCGCAATCGCGGTAGAACCGTCTTGTCCGGAGAAGGGCACGCAGGAGCCACCTTCCCTCTGTAGCGATACGTTGCACGGCTAGATGCATACAGTATGTAAACAAGGATCAAATAAGGCGCCCAAGACTTTGAACGGGCCGCCGTGGGGATTCGATGTGTCGAAGATGGGCATGATCTCTTTGGATTGTCGGTTGATCATCGTCATCATCATCAACATCCTCATCCTCATCATCCTCATCACCATCCTCATCCTCCTCCTCATCATCAACCACCATCATCACCATCGTCGTCGTCCTTGTCGTCGTCATCTTCATTACCATCATAATCGTCATCATCATCGACATTGGCATCGTCATCATTGTCATCATCAGCACCACCAACCTCATCATCATCATCATCATCCTCATCACCATTTCCATCAGCATCATCAGCACAATAAGCATCATCAGTTACATCCTCATCCTCCCGATCATCACTACACCATCATCACCACAATCATAGAATCGTCATCCTTATCATCAGTACTCGCATTCTGCTCATTACGCTCCTGGATATTATCCTGCCTCGCGCGCGGCTGCTGCGAGCGAGGGGTATCCTTCTTGCTGCGCTCCTTGTCCTTGCCTTTGCTTCTACTTCTACTTCTGCTTCGGGCCTTGCCCTTGTCGCGGTCGTCGTTTGCTGCTTTACTTTTGCGCCCCTTGTCCTCCCACGATGGACCAGGCTCGAGGGGAGGCGAGAGAGCGGAGGACGAGGAGGAGGAGGAGGAGGACGACGACGACGATAAAGGGGGAGGGGGGGGCTTCGCCACAAGACAATGATCCTCGATTCTCCTCTCTGGTGCTTCTCCCTCCTCCCTCCTTCTCCCCCTCTCTCTTCCTCCTTCTCCCGCCTCATTCCCTGTCCCCCTCCTTCCTCCTCCCCATCCTCCCTCCTCCCTCCTCGTTCTCCCTCCCGAGCGCCTCGCTTGTTCTTCCCTCCTCCCCCATCCGCTCCCCGCCCCTCGCGCACCCCCGAGCGCGCGGGACAAGCGCGGGACCCGAGAGGCACGGGGAGGGGGGAGGGGGAAGGAGGAGGAAGGATGAGGGAGGGGAAAAGGAGGAGGAGGAAGGATAATGTTGGAGGAGGAGCAGGAGCAGGGAGGAGGACGGATAACAGCGACGACCTCCTCCTCCTCCTCTTCCTCCTCCTCCTCCTCCTCCTCCTCCTCCCCCCTCCTCCTCCTCCTCCTCCTCCTCCTCCTCCTCCGCCTCCTCCTCCTCCCCCTCCCCCTCCTCCCCGACGGCCACGAAGACTACGACGACGGCTCAATCGACGACGGCGGCGACAACGACCTCGTCGACTAGACGATGACGATGGTGACCACGCCAACCTCGACGACAACAACCACAACCACGACGACCAAACTGCGAACATGTGATCTAACCCGGCGGCCTCGGAACCTTCGACACGCCAACCTCGACGACGACAACGGCAAGGACGACGACCAACGTTGACTTACACTTGTTTCAACCTCCCCCTTGCACCCGCCCACGTACTCTATGAGCCAACCACCTTCTGGGGGGGGGGGGCGTCTTTCCATACCACTTCCTGGGAGAAGCACTCGGAAATGCACTCTGCGTGCGCACCGCGCCGACCATGGCCGTCATGCGAGCTCAGGCGTCCGCGGGCAACCTACCAACTCGAGCGGAGCGAGAGCAGGTCTCGAGCGAGAGCGCACCTCCCGATCTTGAGGGCATCCAGGGCGCTTCTGAGAAAACCGTGGGGAAGTATCTAGCGGGAGCTGCTGTCGTCTTGGCCGGGCTTTCTCACAAGCTTGAACGATGTGCGAGAACGTCTTGGGCGAGAGCGCCACTCATGGGAATGATGATGCATATGACCCAGGCGTCCCGGAGTAAGGTGTGAGGACGTATCAGGCGGAAGCCGCTGTCTTCGGAGCTAGGCCTTCACCAACTTGACTGGACTGCGAGGACCTCTCGAGCGAGAGCGCCGTTCCTGAGTTGTGTGCCTTTCTGGCAAGGGCGTCTCAAGGAGAAGTGTGAAAAAGTATCAGACGGAAGCCGTCGTAGTCATTGTTGGGCATCCAACAACTTGCCTGAATTGCGACAACGTCTCAAGCGAGAGCACCGTTCCTCAGTTTCGGGGCCATCTCTGGCCAAGGCGTCTCGGAGTAAATTGTGAGGACGTATCAAGCCCAAGCCGTAGTCGTCATAGTTGGGCCTCCGACAACTTGACTGGATTGCGAAGACGTCTAGAGCGACAACGCCATTCCTGAATTTAGAGCCCACTTTGGCCAGGGCGTCTCGGAGTAAATTGTGAGGACGCATCGAGCGGGAGCCGCTGTGGCAACTGCGCCTCCAACAACCCACATTGGTCCCTAAGCCCGCGCTCGAGCGGGAGCCTCGGTTTCAAAGAACATACAGCCGTCGTCGCGGCGAGAGCGCCCAGAACCCGTTCCAGAGATCAGCAGCACTAATCAGTCATACGAATGAATACCCAACGGCGACGGCGAAAATCGACGTCGGCGGCGAGGACAACTTCAGCGAAGCCAACACCGACACTGACACAGACGACGACGACGACGACGACGACGACGACGACGACGACGACGACGACGACCACAACAATGACAACCATCTTGCGAGCATGTGAGCCCAAAAGCAGTGTTGACCTTCATCTCGTCCTCCCTCCCTTGTACCCACCCGCTAAGTCTATGAACCACTCCCCTTTGGGGACGTTTTTTTGATCATCCGCGCCGCCATGGCCATAATGCAAACGAACGTGCCCGCGGGCAACTCACCAAGTTGATTGCATTGCGAGGGTGTCTCGGGCGAGAGCGCCGTTCCTCAGTTTCGGGGCTTGTCTGGCCAGGGCGTATCGGAGTACACTGTAAGTATCCAGCGGTCGCCGTAGCTGGGTCGGTGCTAACTTGACTGAATTTCGAGGCAGCGCCGTTCCTGTGGTTTCGGGGCCTCTCTGGCCAGAGCGTCCCCGAGAAATCTCTGAGAGCGTGCCGGGCGGGAACCGTTGTCGTCGCAACTGTGGCTTCACCACGTTGAATGACTTTCGAAGAAACCTCAAGCGAGAGAGCCGTTCCTGAATTTGGGAACTTCGCTGGCCAAGGCGTATCATTATAGATTGGACGGGAGCGTCGAGCGGCAACCGTTGTGGTCGCAGTTGGGCCTTCACCAACTTCACTGGCGAGGACGCCTCGGGCGAGAGCGCCGTTCATGAACTTGTGGGGCTCTGTAGCCAGGGCGTCTCATAATAGAGTAGTGCAGGGCGCATCGGGGCTTCAACAACCAAGATGTAGAATCAAACCCGAGCTCGAGCGGGAGCCTCGACTTCAAAGAGAATGTGGCCAGCGTCGAGGCGAGAGCGCCCAGAACCGCTTCTGGAATTTAGCGATAATCATTGTCTAAGAAGGAGTATTCGAGGAGGGCTGCGGCGGCGGCGCGGCGGCGGCAGCGGCGACGAAGACGACAACCCGAGAGGCACATGGACGGACGGGGCATGACGTGGGGCCACACCAGAGGCCGAATACGCTCGGAAAGCTCGATCCAGGATTCAAAGAAGAACAAGCCCCGCCGCCTTCTGAGAAGGCCTTCGCCTTCTCCCTTTCCCCCCTCGCTCGCCGCCGAAGAGGAGGAGTGCAGGAAAGGGGCTGCGGAGGAGGAGGGGGAGGCGGAGGAGGAGGAGGAGGAGGAGGGGAGGAGGGGAGAGGAGGAGGAGGAGGAGGAGGAGGAGGAGGAGGAGGAGGAGGAGGAGGAGGAGGAGGAGGAGGAGTGGAGGAGGAGATGATGAGGAGGAGGAGGAGGGAGGAGGAGGAGAGGGAGGAGGGGGAAGAGGAGGGGGAGGAGGAGGAGGAGGAGGAGGAGGAGGAGGGAGGAGGAGGAGGAGGAAAGGGAGATGGAGGAGGAGGAGGAGGAGGAGGAGGAGGAGGAGGGGGAGGAGGGGGAAGAGGAGGGGCATAGAAACTTCCGGAACTTCACTCGGGTAGCTTTGGCGCAGGGCTTCCCTCCTGGCCGCGCGACAAGCGTGCCTGGGGCTCGGCGCAGGAGGCGGGCCCTCTGCGCCGAGCCAAGAGACCTGCGCGGGGAGCTCCGACAGTTCTGTGCTCGCGCGGACTTCTCTTCCTCGGAGGGCCACTTTCGGCCTCGGGGGCCTGGGCAATCGATTTTGACTTGGGGAACAAACAATGGCATACAAACAAACATTCGGAGGTCCGCGCGGATTTCTCGGATCGGCGCTGGGGCCCCCCTGGCGGCGCTTCCAGCGCCGCCCCTGGAGCGCTCCGCGCGCCAGGGGCGGGGGTCCAGCGCGGATCCAAGAAATCCACGCGGATACAAGTGTGAGAAAAAAGTTTACAACGCTCGGGCCTCTGGTGGCGGGCTCCAATGCGATCGACCCCCGCTTGCACCACTCGCAAGGCGCCCCGAACGGCCCACAGCATGGCCCGCGCCCATAGAGTGCCGCGCTGTCGGTTTCGAAAAGCCCGCGCCGAAGTGGGGGAATCCAGAATGGAATCCGCCATGATAACGCCGCGTAGAACAGCCGGCTTTCACCTGAGGGGCGCAGGAGACGAATCCCCAACGCGGCGCGAACCCTGATCGGGCCCGGCCCTCGACGCGGGCCGTGCCCAAGCGGCGCGGGGAAGCCCCTCCCCCCGCCCCTGCATTTCTGACCCACCGACATATTATCCATGCTGCCCGACCCACGAGCAAACGTTTACATGCAACCCTTTCGATGTGATTCAACTGCGGTAGGAGTGACGCGTCATTCTTTCGCGCGCGCGGGATCCCTCACACATGAGCGACGCCCCCATTCACCAACGCCCGAAGCCTTCGCAGCTGTGCGCGGGCCCGTCGACCTTTGCAGGCATCGTGCCCTGCGTCCGCGCGAAGCCTCGCAGGGGGTCGGGCCGGGCACCGCTCGGCGTGGCGTCGGCAGCCCCCGGGCTCCGCGCAAGTGCCGGCCCCCTGGCGGAGGCGGCGGCGGGGCGCAGGTGGCAGCTCCGGGGGCGTTCCGCCCTGGCCAGATCCGAACGAAATCGGGGGCGCCCGCCGCCGCCTCGCGGCGCCGTCGGGGGCGCCGCGGGGGCCGGCAGGGCGCCCCCGACCTGGCCCAGCGCCGCTCAGCGGCGCACGGCGCGCCGCGCACGGAGGGGGCGCTACTGCGCGGCACGCGGGGCTCGCAGAACACTCGGCGTGGCCGACGCTCGCAAAGCGGGAAAGGCACGACCCTTCATAAACGATGACGGCGTTGCCGATGCGATGCCGCGCTCCTGCTCGGCCACCCAGGACTGTAGGACGCGGCGCGGCTGAGATCCGTGGAATGGGCGTCCGACTCTCCCTGACGGATTGCAAGACACCTGTTGAGGCGCCGCGCCCCCCCACTGCCTCCACGCAGTGATCGCGTGCCGCGGTTGACCGCCTCGGCGCGGGGATTGCGCGGCCTCCCCTAGAGGGGGAGCGCGGCGACGTCTCCTCCTGCGGAGCTCCTGGGTTGAAGGGCCAACGCGAAGCGCAAGTGGACGAAACCAACCGGAAGAGAAAGCGAAGAGAGAAGTTGGGCCACGGGTCTCGCACAACAATGACCGCTCGATACGCGGCGATTCTCGACTCGTAGATGCGCGCGCCAGGGAACCCGTGAGCCGCGTCCAAGGCGAAGAATGGCCCTCCGATTCTGCAAACTTCCAAGCGCTCGGACGCTGCTGCGTGGCTGCGCGGAAGCTCTATCTGCTTCGCGAGAAGTGAGCGTTGTATAATTGCCAAACAGATCATGGAGCGGACCTCCGAGTTTTCATGGTCATGTCACTTTTCGTTCCCCTATTGACACCGAGGACCTCGACGACGTCGACGCTCAAAACGCTCGACACGAGAATCAATCAACATCGAATCGTAAAATCGGATAGGGACGCATCGGCATGGAGTCCAGATCGAATCGGGTCGGCTGTGCATGGGTGCAAAACGACGCCGCAAACCCATCGGGCTGCATTGGATATCCAGGAAGTCGGAATCGAATCGGATTGGGCCGGCCTGAAACGACATCGAATCGGCTCGGCCCGATCGAAATGGACCCCGGATCCTGGAACCTGGAACGGAATGGGAATCGCGGCCCCAGCCAGCGAATCGGGAGAATCGACTTCGACCTCGAGCAGAAGCCTCCCGGGCCTCCTAAGAGGGCCCTTTGCCTGCTAAGACGTCCCTCCCGCCCTCTCAGTAGGCCTCCCCCTCCCTCCCCTCCCGTCAGCCCGCCATGTACAGGGTGACAAACCGTATGGCCTCTTGGGCGATCTTGGGGGCCTCTTGGGCCGTCTTGAGCCGTCGGAGTGCCGAGAAGAAGCAAATTCCCAAATCCTTCCGAAACCGAGGGCAAATCCAGGACTTTGGCCTCTTCGGGCCCTCCTGGAGGACCTCTTGGAGGCCTCCTGGGCCAGCTTGGAGGCCTCTTGGGCCGTCGGAGGTCCGCGTGGATCTCTCGGATCCGGGCCGGAGGTCCCTCCCCGGCGCGCCGAGCGCGGCGGAGGGGGCGGCGCTGGAGGCGCGGGCCCCGCGGTGCAGGCCCCGACGGAGATGGGGGCGCCGTTGCGGCAGGGAGTCTGGTGCATTCCATGCCAGAGCGTGGTTCCGAAAACACTGGCAGGGGAACAAAAAATGGCATAAACAGAAAAACTCGGAGGTCCGCGCGGATTTCTCGGGATCGGCGCTGGACCCCCCTCCCTGGCGCGCGGAGCGCGCCAGGGGCGGCGCCGGAGGCGCCGCCGGGGGCCCCAGCGCCGATCCGAGAAATCCGCGCGGACCTTCGAGATTTTATGTTTATGTCACTTTTTGTTCCCCTAATCGTGAGCGTTTCCTGATTCGGCGTTTCGACATTGGGCGGAAGTTGCTGCTTACTCCGAGTTTCTTAAGAAGCGCTCGGGGGGCGTCACCCAGGCCGACCGCCCCACATCGGCCCCATCGTTGCCCCTGTTTCTTGGTCTGGACGGCCGCGATCTCATTGGTAAAAAAGCATCGAGGTCCCGGCTGCACCCCTCGGCACTGCGGCGTCCTGCTTTGCTCAACACGGGGTCCCTGAAGCCCCGACCCTCTCCCCGGGGGATTACAGTCATCGGCCTGACCTAAGGAACGATAAATGAGGAACGAAGCCCCTGATTTTTCCAAGGAGTAACGCAGAGGGAACGATATATAGCAAATAACGCATTAAGGAATGATGAATAGCGCATGCAAGCCTAAGGAACGACCGAGCCCCTTTGGAAAAGGAAGTGTTCCTTATTCAAGCCGCTCACTGTAGCTGCTCATCGCGAATCGTTTTGTTCACGGGCTCGGGGCCCAGCGAGGGCCCCCCCAGAGGCCGAAAACAGCCCAGAGCCTCCCGTCCTGCGATTTCGCCGACGCGTTCATGTCTAAGTCTTTAGCTGCTGTGAAGGGAAGAGGCCTCCTAGATGGGGTCCGAGTAGATGGGGTCGGAGGATCGCGCCGCATGGCCGGTGTATCGGCGATGCAACAGCGATGCATCGTCGACGTCGGCGATGCATCGGCGACGTCGACGTGAAGCAAATCGGATTCCACATCGAGCCGCATCGCCGATGCATCGGCGACGCGTCGTCATCCTCCGACCCCATCTACTCCGACCCCATCTACGAGGCCTAGATTCTCGCGAACCGTTTTTCACGATCCCGGGGCCCAGCGAGGCCCCCCCTTTCCCCGCGAGGCCCAAAACAGCCAAAAGCCTCCCATCCTGCTTTTCGGCGACACGTTCATGTCTTAGTCTGTGGCTGCTGTGAGGGTGTTTTGATGGGGCCGCATTTCGGGAGACTCTCCATGGGGGGGGATCCCATGGGGGGGCAGGAGGGGATCCCCCCCATGGGAGCCCCTCCTGCCCCCCTATGGGATCCGCAGGGGATCCTATGGGATACCCCCCCCCTGGGATCCTATCCCCCCATGGGATCCCCCCATGAAGAGTCTCCCGAGCACTGCTGGACCCCGGGCGCCGCCGACCGGCTGCGGCGGGGGCGGCGACACGCCGGTCCTTCAGGGACGCGGCCGCCGCGGCGGCCGCGAGCCTGCCGGCGCTGCAGCTGCGGCTCTGCTGCCGTGCCTTCTCCTGCACGGCGGCGCGGTGCGGGGGCGCACGTCCTCCGTCGTCCGTCGTCCGTCGGAACGTCGAGGTCGTCGTCGTCATCGTCATCGTCGTCAGCCGTCGCCGTCGCCGTCGTCGTCGTCGTCGTCGTCGTCGTCGTCGTCGTCGTCGTCGTCGTCGTCGTCGTCGTCGTCGTCAACGTCGTCGTCGGCCGCCACCGCCGCCCGAGGCTCGAGCGAGGATAACAACGCGTTGATTGGCAATCTGTTTTGTTGCCGTCCCCCTCCCTGTGTGTTTCTGTCCTTTGTCCAGCCTTCGGTAAGCCTTCTTCGCCATGGCTGGGTTCTCTCCGAACTCCCAGCCGAGAGAGCAGAAGGAAAAAACAAATATCATACGAAGCACCCCGAGAAGCGAAGCCGTTTGGTAGACGCGCCCAGGGGAAGGAGTCGTACAGGACAGGGTTTTTAGTAAACGCACAGGCCCGTCTAGTAAACGCCAATTCTGGGGGTCGGGATGTTTTTCCCTCCCTCGATGGTCAAGGCGCACCCCATCCAGGCGGCGGCGGCGCGGTCGTCGGCGTCGGCGGCGTCGTCGTCGTCGGCGACGGCCACGGCCACCGCCGCTCGAGGCTCGAGGCTCGAGGGTCGAGGCTCGAGGATCGCGGCGAGGGTTTCGAGGCTCGAGGATCGAGGTCCGACGATGGAGGCGCGCGCGTGTGTCATCGAGGCTCGCCGAGGATCGAGGCTCGAGGATCGAGGTCCGAGGCTCGAGGCGCGGGGTTTCGAGGCTCGAGGATCGAGGCCCGAGGATGGAGGTGCGCGCGCGTGTATACATATACGCATACATACAGATGTATATCTATATATCTGTATATATACATATATGTGTGTATGCGTGCTGTCGGCGCCTTCGGTGATCATCGAGCGCGGGCGTCTGCACCACGGGTGGCCTGCGCTGGCCCGCCGAGCTCGGCGGGCCAGCGGGGTCGGGGCCCGCCCAGGGGACCTCATTTGGTCTGATGGATGTCAGCGTGCTCGTCCTGTTCGACCCGCAGAGGCCCATGACGGCCCGAGCGGCCTCCAGAATGGCCCCCAAGACGGAAGGCCCCCATCCCACCCACCCCCCGCGGGCCGCCTGTGTGTAAGCGTGCGCGTGCGTGTGCGCGTGCGCGCTCGCGCGTGCGTGCTCGCGTGCGCGCGTGCGTGCGTGCGGGTGCGTGCGTGCGAGCGTGCGGGTGCGTGCGCACGTGCGTGCCATGCGTGCATTGGTGAATGCGTGCGTGCGTGCGTGCGGGTGTGTGTGTGTGTGTGTGTGTGTGTGTGTGTGTGTGTGTGTGTGTGTGTGTGTGTGTGTGTGTGTGTGTGCGTGCGTGCGTGTGTGTGTGCGTGTGTGTGTGTGGTGTGTGCGTGTGCGTGTGCGTGTGCGTCTGTGTGTGTCTGTGTGCGCGTATTTGTGTGTGCGTGTGTTTATGTGTGTATGTGTGTGCGTGTGTGTGTGTGTGTGTGTGGATGTTTATGTGTGTGTGTGTACGTGTGCGTGTGCGTGCGAGTGTGTGCGTGTGCGCGTGTATGCGTTTGCGCGCTCGCTCTCCTCGACTATCTACGCTGCGCCGCCGCGCGCGTGGCCGCGACACCCAGGAGCGTGTGCGCGTGCGTGTGTTGCTCTCCACCCTTCGGCTGTGGGGCGCCAGCGCCCCGCCACGGCTCGTCTTGGAGCTCCCGTGCGCGGGCTCGCGCACCGAAGCTGGGCGGGCCTCCTGAGGCCTGCCCATGCTGCGCCGCGCCGCAGCCCTCGGAGGGGCCTGGGCTGCCAGGGCGGAGCCTTCGAGACCCGCAGGGCCTGGCGAGCTCGACCCCCTGGCCCCTGCGGTCAGGAACTTTGCCGCCCAGGGCGATCCCCTCCTCCTCCTCCTCCTCCTCCTCCTCCTCCTCCTCCTCCTCCTCCTCCTCTTCCTCTTCCTCCTCCTCCTTCCTTCCTCCTTCCTCCTTCCTCCTTCCTCCTCCTCCTCCTCCGCCTCCGCCTCCTCCTCCTCCACTCCGTCTCCCTGTAAATAACTTTGCCCTGTCGCACGCAGAGGCCAGCTTTTAAGGCGGACCGGGCGTTTCGCCTGAGACTTCCTCAGCACTTAGGACTCTGAAGCTGAAGAAGTGACAACAGCTGCGCACATGGAGGGCGGGTGGTTTTCAAAATGTGACTCCCGCCTTAGCGCCGCGCACATTCTTGTTAAACATTTGCAAGAGCTTCACGGATCGAGGGCTGTTTTTTTTCAACATGTGGCTCTCGCCTTAGCGCCGCGCGCATTGGTTTTAAACAGTTGCGAGAGTTTCACGTATTGAAGGCGGGCCGTTTTCAAAATGTGTTTCTCGCCTTACTGCCGCGCACATCGGCTTAAAACAATTGCAAGAGTTTCACGGATTGAAGGCGGCTCCTTTTCAACATGTGGCTCCCGCCTGAGCGCCGCGCACATTCGTTTTAGAAAATTTGCAAGAGCTTCAGGGATTGAGGGCGGCTCCTTTACAACATGTGGCTCTCGCCTTCGCGCCGCGTACACTCGTTCATAAAATTCTGAAGCGTTTCACGGGTTCCCATGATCAAGGTACCAGAAAGGGTGTTTTGGAAGGGTTCAGGACTATGCGGGTGCAGCACTTATGTTGATTCGCGGTGCTGAAATTCCAAAAATGACGTTTTGGCACGATTGCGGATCGTCAACACGCAGCAATCCGGTTGATCCGTGGCGTTGAAAATCCCGAGAACAATGTTTTGGCATGCTTCAGGGTCTGTAAGGGTGTCTTCCAACGAGGCAGTTCCCTCAATGGAAATGAACTGTTGTAGGGGCCTATGAAGAGGGAGCTTGGGGAGAGGGCTAACTCCGACATCGTTGATGACTCTCTGGTTTGCACTGGTACCCCTCCTCCTCCTCCTCCTCCGCCTCCTCCTCCTCCTCCTCCTCCTCCTCCTCTTGCTCCTCCTCCTCTTGCTCCTCCTCCTCCTCCTCCTCCTCCTCCTCCTCCTCCTCCTCCTCCTCCTTCTCCTCCTCCTCCTCCTCCTCCTCCTCCTCCTCCTCCCTGTGCCCCGTGAGCGGAGGCTTTGAAAAGCTCGAGGCGTGGACGCCTGGGGACTGCGACGTGCACGGCGCGTCGCGCCGAGGGGCGCGGTGCGCCGGCCTTTGGCGGCACGACGCGCGCCACGGCAGAGTTTTCCCGACCGCGCAGGTCCCCCCAGGCCACGGCCGCGGAGTGCCGCGCCGAGGGGGGGGCAAACCTCCTCCTCCTCCTCCTCCTCCTCCTCCTCCTCCTCCGCCTCCTCCTCCTCCTCTGCCTCGTCCTCCTCCTCCTCCGCACCTCCTCCTCCGAACCTCCCGTGCCGTGCCGTGCCGCGCCGAAGGCGCCCCAAACGGGCTGCTCCACGCAAGGCACGCGGCGACTCACGCGCGGGCAGAGGGTGCCCCCCACGGGCTGCTCCACGACGGGGCGACGCCGCAGCTCGCCGCGCGCCGCTCCTGTGGAGGCGCCCCGAGCGGGGCCCCTTGCCACCACCTTCTCGCCGCCCAGCCAGGGCGTCGGGCAGCGAAGGCGAGGGAGGAAGCGAGGAGGGAGCCGAGTCTCAGGTCGGGCATGTCCCCCCACAGGCCGATTTCCGACGACAGAATATTCAATTAGCCTGGTTAAAGACCCCACCATATGCAGTTGCAATTGTGAATGCCACCTTCGCCCGCGCTCCCTATGTGGCCACGGCTTCCCGCCGGAGCCCGACATGCGCAGGAACACGTTCGTGGCCGTCTTCGCGGGCGCCGGCGACGACAAGGACGGCGTCCCTCTGACCGAGGAGCAGCAGGAGAGGGCTTTGAGAGCCATGAGGGAGGAGGTGGCGTTGCACGTCGGCGGAGTAGGACGCCCAGGCGCGGTCGCTGAAGCAGCACAACTATGGAGCCACGATCCTCGTGAAGGGTGTGCCGCACTGGCCCGGGGCCGCCATGCGAACCCTGCCACTGGCGCCTTCGGTGGATCTCCTGTGGGGCCACGATCCTCGTGAGGAGTCTTTCGAAATGCCCCTCGGCCGCCATGCGAACCCTGCCACTGGGGCCTTCGGTGGAGCTCCCTATGGGGCCACGGTCCTTGTGAGGGGTGTGCCGAAATGGCCCGAGGCCGCCATGCGAACCCTGTCGCTGGCGCCTTCGGTGGAGCTCCCGATGGGGCCACGATCCTCGTGAGGGGTGTGCAAAAATGGCCCGAGGCCGCCATGCGAACTTTGCCACTGGCGCCTTCGGTGGAGCTCCCTATGGGGCCACGATCCTCGTGAGGGGTGTGCCGAAATGGCCCGAGGCCGCCATGCGAACCCTGCCGCTAGCGCCTTCGGTGGAGCTTCCCATGAGGCCACGGTCCTCGTGAGGGGTGTGCCGAAACGGCCCGAGGCCGCCACGCGAACTTTGCCACTGGCGCCTTCGGTGGAGCTCCCTATGGGGCCACGATCCTCGTGAGGGGTGTGCCGAAATGGCCCGAGGCCGCCATGCGAACCCTGCCGCTGGCGCCTTCGGTGGAGCTCCCTATGGGGCCACGATCCTCGTGAGGGGTGTGCCGAAATGGCCCGAGGCCGCCATGCGAACCCTGCCACTGGCGCCTTCGGTGGAGCTCCCTATGGGGCCACGATCCTCGTGCGGGGTGTGCCGAAATGGCCCGAGGCCGCCATGCGAACTTTGCCACTGGCGCCTTCGGTGGAGCTCCTATGGGGCCACGATCCTCGTGAGGGGTGTGCCGAAATGGCCCGAGGCCGCCATGCAAACTTTTCCACTGGCGCCTTCGGTGGAGCTCCCTTTGGGGCCACGATCCTCGTGAGGGGTGTGCCGAAATGGCCCGGGGCCGCCATGCGAACCCTGCCACTGGCGCCTTCGGTGGAGCTCCCTCTGGGGCCACGATCCTCGTGAGGGGTGTGCCGAAATGGCCCGAGGCCGCCATGCGAACCCTGCCACTGGCGCCTTCGGTGGAGCTCCTATGGGCCCACGATCCTCGTGAGGGGTGTGCCGAAATGGCCCGAGGCCGCCATGCGAACCCTGCCGCTGGCGGCTTCGGTGGAGCTTTCCATGCGGCCACGATCCTCGTGAGGGGTGTGCCGAAATGGCCCGAGGCCGCCACGCGAACTTTGCTACTGGCGTCTTCGGTGGAGCTCCTATGGGGCCACGGTCCTTGTGAGGGGTGTGCAAAAATGGCCCGAGGCCGCCATGCGAACTTTGCCACTGGCGCCTTCGGTGGAGCTCATATGGGGCCACGATCCTCGTGAGGGGTGTGCCGAAATGGCCCGAGGCCGCCATGCGAACTTTGCTACTGGCGCCTTCGGTGGAGCTCATATGTGGCCTCGGTCCTTGTGTGGGGTGCCGAAATGGCCCGAGGCCGCCATGCGAACTTTGCTACTGGCGCCTTCGGTGGAGCTCCTATGGGGCCACGATCCTCGTGAGGGGTGTGCCGAAATGGCAAGAGGACGCCATGCGAACTTTGCCACTGGCGTCTTCGGTGGAGCTCATATGGGGCCACGATCCTCGTGCGGGGTGTGCCGAAATGGCCCGAGGCCGCCATGCGAACTTTGCTACTGGCGCCTTCGGTGGGGCTCCCTATGGGGCCACGATCCTCGTGAGGGGTGTGCCGAAATGGACCGAGGCCACCATGCGAACTTTGCTACTGGCGCCTTCGGTGGAGCTTCCCATGAGGCCACGATCCTCGTGAGGGGTGTGCCGAAATGGCCCGAGGCCGCCATGCGAACTGTGCTACTGGCGCCTTCGGTGGAACTCACATGGGCCACGATCCTCGTGAAGGGTGTGCCGAAATGGCCCGAGGCCGCCACGCGAACTTTGCCACTGGCGCCTTCGGTGGAGCTCCTATGGGGCCACGATCATCGTGAGAGGTGCCAAAATGGGGTGTACCAAAATGGGGCGGTGCCGAGATCGGTGATGATGATGATGATGATGATGATGATGATGATGATGATGATGATGATGATGATGCTGATGATGATGATGATGATGATGATGATGATGCTGATGCTGATGCTGATGCTGATGATGATGATTGATGATGATGATGATGATGACGAGGCTGATGATGGTGATGCTGATGCTGATGATGATGATGATGATGATGATGATGATGATGGTTATGATGATGATGATGATGATGATGATGATGATGATGATATGATGATGATGATGATGATGATGATGATGATGATGATGATGATGATGATGATGACGATGATGATGATGATGATGATGATGATGATGATGATGATGATGATGATGATGATAATAATAATAACGATGATGCGAGGAGGAGGAGGGAGGGGGCAGCGGGAGGAGGAAGGAACACGGGGCGCTGTCTCTTCAAAACGAGGACCCAACACCACAATATGGTTGGGAACAAATAATTTAACATGGTCAAACACTACTCGAAAATCGTCCCCCAGACTATGTTTGTGACCATGTTTGAAGATTCCTCCAAGGTGGGGGAGGGGAGGGGGGGCAATCCAAGGGGAAGCAGATGAGGGGAGAGAAGGGGGTGGGGGGGAAGGGGCAGGCTGGGCGGAGGGAGTGAGAGAGAGAGAGGGATCGGATTGGGCATGGCAGGGCAGGAGCGAAGCAGCCTACCAAGAAGAGGCGGAGGGGCGGGGAGAGGGGCGCGAGGGGGCGGGGAAGAAGCGGGAAGAAGTTGTTGGGCGCGCGTCGGCCGCAGCCCAGGCCCTCTCTCCTCCTTCTTGTGCTTCTCCCGGTGCTTCTCCTTCTCCTTCTTCGGCTTCCCCTCCTGGCCCGGCGGGGGGCCGCTCCCGGCGAGCCCACCCTCGAGCGCTCCCCGATCAGGGTGCGGGCACGGGCCTCGCCGAGGTGACGGGCAGCCTTGGCCTCGGACACCGCGCGGATCACTCTCGGCCGCGAGCGAGGGGGGGAAGTGAGAGTGAGCAGGCCTTCTCAGAGGGCGGCGGGCCTTCTCGGAGGCCCTCCGGCCCTCCGAGGCAGTCTCCTGCGTCTCCGGGGAAGGCTCAGAGGACTTCTCGGGAGGCTGGGGGACTTCCGAGCCCTCCGGGAAGGCCTGCTCCTTCCCACTGCCTCCCGCCCCCGCTCGCCGCCGACATTCGGCCTTGAACGAGCGCGGCTTTCTTAAAGGGGCCCCAGGACACACAAATAAATACGCACAAATAAAAGGATTCACCATATTTTTCTATATCTTATGGGCTTTTGTCTTCCCCCCAATCCCCATATTCTCCTATATTTTCCTGGGAATCGACGATCAATTGTGTCTGTGTGTTTCTTTCCCTCCTGATTTCTGGCAGCGCAGGGGGGATGCTCGGCCGACTCCAGGCCGCCGGCGGCCTGCGACCTTCAAGGCCCACACGGGGGGGCGCCTGCCTCGATCGGCTGCCCTCGGCTGGCCTCCGCCGGCAACGCAGGAAACTCCTCCTGCACCTCACCTTGCAGACGATGCTGCAGAGCTTCCGCTGGCGTTCCTCAAGTTTCTGCCCTGGGCGAGGGAGGAGGGCGACAGGTACATGGGGAGGCAGCCTTTTCATCCAAGGCGTGCCCGATCATGGGGCATCTGATGTTGGGGTGCTGCTCTGTCTCTCTGGATACTTGCCGCGGTCAGTCGATCGTAGGTATGCATTTCTTTAGGTGCTGATGTGGGGTGCAAGGTCGAATATACACAAGCCCAAGCAGACACAAACACAAGCACCGACACAGACGCAGAAACAGGCATACGCCGACACACAGACATTACATACACGCAGAAACGGTCACACACACAGCACACACATATACACACGCACACACATACATACACACATTCCATGAACTCCAGAAACCCGCGGACGGCCGATTACCGCCAGCCCGAGTCACGTTCCAGCGCTGGCGGAAATCCAGCGGCAGCGGGGGGTCCAGGTGTTGTGCACTTCCTGGCGTCTGCATTGATCCCCTAAACAACTTGTCTGTAAGGGTCAAAGAAGCTAGTAGGTGCGTTGCCAGATCTGGAATCGGACGGGCGACGTTACCTCCCGTTGCCTCCAGTGACCTCCCGCTGCCTCCCATTGCCTCCCGTTGCCATCCCTGTCCCTGTCCGCATCCCTATTCCTGTCCGCATCCCTATTCCTGTCCGCATCCATGCCTCTATATCTATCCCGCTGCCTCCATCCCTATCCTTAACCCTCTATCTATCCTTAACCCTCTCCCTATCCCTTGCATCCCTACCCTATCCTATATTCGCATCCCCATGCCCATCCCCATGTATCCCTGTCCCTACATCGCTATATCGCCTACCCGGCATCCCTATCCCCATCCCCATCCCCGTCTATCCCTGCCCTTATGTCACTAGATCCCCAGCCCAGCATCCATATCCCTATCCCCTACATATCTCTATCCCCATCCTGATCCCTATCCCGACCCCCCCATCGTGGGCCCCATTGTTACCGTTTAAAGCTGTTCATTGTCTTTTGCCGTAAGGGTGCCAGTCGGATGCGGATGGCAGGCCTCCGATTAGGTACGAGTTCCCCTGAAGCTCACAGCTGCGCTCGACTCGCGACGCCCCAGCGCACAACCGAAAGAATATGATGCGCGTCGGCAGTTTGCGCATCCCTAGCCGCTTGCGCCTCCCTTGACTGATTCCGTCAACGCGCTCCTCCTCTCCCTTCTCGCCCTCCTCCTCCTCCATATCCTCCTCCTCCGCCTCCTGCCTCTTCTCCTCGTCTTCCGCCTGGCACGAAGCAACTCGGAGCGGCACATTCCTGGCTCCTCCTCTTCCTCTTCCTCCTTCCTCCTGCTTCTCCTTCTCAACACCGCGTCCCGAGTTCGCATTACAGATCTAGATCGACATGGTGCGGCTCATGCACCCAATTAGGACGCGTGACGAAGTCTCGCCCTGCTACAAGACTTGCGGCCGCTAGGGCGTGGCGCAAACCCCAAAGAGGGCCACTCATGCTCCTCCCCCTCCGTTCCCATACTCTCAGGTCGGGCATGTCCCCTCCCGGCGGATTTTGGAGGGAACAGAAAGAATGGCCCGAAAAAAACTCCAAAATAGTCGAACATACTAAAAAATCATACCGGTCCTGTAGAGGGACGTGCCGTCGTGCTCCTTACTGTTGTCGGGATCCTGCTGCCGCTCCTCCCGCCTCTCCCCGCCCTCCTCTGACAGCCGGCCCGTACCACAAGGATGCGCCACAAGGATGCACGGGCCTTCGACGCCCACTTCGGAGCTGTCCGGGCGGGGCGCGGCTAGCAACAGTTGCCAAGGATGGGCCGAGGAGGCGAGGATGCAAGGGTACCCTTGGGAAGGTTTCCCATCCTTACCTTGCGGTTTGACTGTAGATGGGGCTGGAGGATCGCGCTGCATCGGCGATGCATCGGTGATGCATCGGCGATGTCGGCGATGCGTCGGTCGGCGACGTCGGCGTGGAGGAAAGCGGGCTTCGCATCAAGCCGCATCGCCGACGCATCGACAATGCCGTGCGATCCTCCTCGTCCTCCTCCTCCTCCGAGGAGGAGAGGGAGGAGGAGGAGGAGGAGGAGGAGGAGGAGGAGGAGGAGGAGGAGGAGGAGAGGAGGAGGAGGAGGAGGAGGAAGGAGAGGAGGAGGAGGAGGAGGAGGGGAGGAGGAGGAGGAGGAGGAGGAGGAGAGGAGGAGGAGGAGGAGGAGGAGGAGGAGACCCCATCTACTGAGGTGCCCGTTGGGAGGCCTGGAACCAGATGCAGCGGCAGCAGTGGGGTGGCAGAGGCCTTGTCTTTCGGCCTCTCCTTCTCCCGGTCGGCCTCTCTGTCCTTCGCCTTCTCCTCCTGCGGCGACGCGCCGGGCACGAGCAAGAAGGAGGAGTGCGGCGCCAGAGCCAAACTGGAAACTTGGCGCACGTCTGCACAGCAGCCCGTGGCGCAACCGATAACTCATGGGGCCGTTCGGGCGGAAGGTAAAACAGCCAAGACAACCCGCGTCCCTCCTCCCTCCCTGCTCCCTCATCCTCCCTCCTCCTTCCCCTCCTCACCATCCTGCTCCCACTTTCATCCCCCTCCTCCTTGTCCTTCTCACCATCTCATCCATCTCATGCTCATTATCATCACCATCATGACACTTTTCCGTCTTATCCGCCACGGAATCGCCCCCCAGACCTCTCCATGGCTGCGTCTTGGCAAGAACTTCGAGGGGAATCCAGCTGTGGCGATGAGAAGCCTCTGCGAGGGCCCACAAGGACGAACAAACATTCAAAAAAGAGTGATGGAGGAGTAAAAGGCGGAGGGGGGAGGAGCAGGAGGGGGAGGGAAGAGAAGGAGGCGGAGGAGGAAGAACTGCGATGAGGAAGAGGAGGAGGAGGACGAGGAGGAGTAGAAGGAAGAGGAGGAGGGAGCAGGAAAGACAACAACGACGACAACGCCAATCCAGCCGGTCAAACCGTGCTCCTCGAACTTCGTTCATCCTCCTCGGCCTCCTCCTCCGCTTCTCCCCCTCGGGAGCCAGAGCAGCCGGGGCGGGTGCAGTACTGGAAGCTGGTCGGCACGCATGGGCGAGCTCGACTCGGCACAGACATGCACGCAGGGGAGCAGGCGAAGAGAGGGGAGGGGAGGAGAGGAGACGAGGGGCCGGGGGCCATCTTCGCTCCATGCGGGCGGGCCTCCTGAGGGGGAGGAGGCAGCAGGAACAGAAGCAAGTGTGAGGAGCCCTGGCGGACCATCGGGTCGCCAAGCCTCCTGCCCAAGAGAATCACCAGATCCACATCAGGCTTCTAAATGATGTAGCTGTGCGCCGCGCAGCGGCGGACGAGCTTTGCCTGTTTTCCGCGAGAGCGGCGCCGGTCAGGCTGGGGCTCATGTCGGCGCGCAGCCGACGGTGGAGAGGAGGGGGGGTGGAGGACGAGAAGAAGGCATAGGAGGGGGAGAGCGGACCTTTCTCTACAACCTACTGTAATTACTGCTGCCTGGTTAGCTTGCGGGCGGCTCTGGGCGATGGCCCAGGGCAGCCAACCGCTCCCGTCAGGGCTGTGCAGAAGCCACGACGGCAGGGGGCGCTCAGCGCTCTCTGAAGCCGAGGGCGTCACCTCACCCGTGCCCTGCAGGCGCCGCCAGACCTCCGACAGCCTCTCCTGCGCCGCGCCGGGGCGGTCCCGAGAGGGCCTCTCGCCGGCGAGGAGTGGAGCTTCGTTTGCACCTCTTCCTCGGCCGAAAACAGGCGGGAGGACGGCAGCAGCCAGGCGAGGGCGTCTCCGCCGGCAGAGGCCAGCGGAGACATAAGAAAAAGCAGCAACAGCATAAGCTCTTCAGCCGAAAGCGGCGGGAGGACGGCAGAAGCAAGGCGAGGGCGTCTCCGCCGGCAGAGGAGGAGGAGGAGGAGGAGGAGGAGGAGGAGGAGGAGGAGGAGGAGGAGGAGGAGGAGAGGAGGAGGAGAGGGGAAGAGGGGAGGAGGAGGAGGAGGAGGAGGAGGGGAAAAAGCAGCATAAAACATAACTGTCGGCGCTCCGCGCGAGTTTCTTGGACTTGCGCTGGGCCCCCCTCCCTGGCGCGCGGAGCGCGCAAGGGGCGGCGCCGGAGGCGCCGCCAGGGGGGCCCAGCGCAGATCCAAGAAATCCGCGCGGAGCTCCGAAAGTCTATGCGTATGCAGTTTTTTGTGTCGAGAGGCGATTGCGTCTCCGAGCCAGCAGAGGGCCGGCGGGATGAACTGGGACCCCCGCGTGGAGTTGGCAAGCTGTTCCAGAGCGGCCGAGGCCAGAGACCCCGGGTGCAAGCCGGTCGCGGCGTATCACTTGTCGTTGCACATGGCCGTCAAATGCCTGCGTGGTGTCTGTTCCTTCCGGGGGCACACACGCGTGTCTATACATGTACTCATGTGTATAGAACTAGATGCCGTCGCTGTGCCCCAGGGGATATGTATATAAAACTAGGACTAGAACTATAACTGTATGTAGAACAAGAACTGAATACATATATCTATATAGAACTATGGCACAATGCTCGACATGTCAGTAGCTGCCGTGATGCGTGCGTCCCAGGAAATATGTGGGCGTCGTGCTTCCACGGAGCCAAACATACGAAAGAACGCGTGGGCAAAAGATCGCACGATTGGCAACTCTTCGGGAACTACGGAAAGAGAAACGGAACAACGGAACGCCTCATGTCTGCGAACAGAAAGAATTGCGCCCGACCGTGAAGCAGAGGACGGGCTGCGAGACAGGAGCTCGCACTCAGTTCGGATGTCTATCCCTTGCCTGCGCCACCGCCCGACGCCCGACAGATCCCGCACTAAGCAACTAGAACGCCTGCGTCAGGAAAAACTTTCGATGGCCACTCGCGGGAGCCTTCCATGCCATCTTGCTGGCGCTTGCGAATCGACGCTGGTCGACGCAAATCGATGCAAGTCGGCGCTTCCTCATCGACTACGAAGCACTGGCGCACAAATGCGCTCTGACGACGGGGTGTGTAGGACACGCAGGGCCTCCATGACTTGTCAGCGAAAGAACCTGTGCTGAGCAGGGACCGGCCGTCATGGCATTCCTATTTGCCCACTACTACTACTACTACTACTACTACTACTACTACTACTACTACTGCTACTACTACTACTACTACTACTACTACTACTACTACTACTACTACTACTACTACTACTACTACTACTACTACTACTACTACTACTACTACTACTACTACTACTACTACTACTACTACTACTACTACTACTACTACTACTACTACTACTACTACTACTACTACTACTACTACTACTACTACTACTACTACTACTACTACTACTACTACTACTACTACTACTACTACTACTACTACTACTACTACTACTACTACTACTACTACTACTACTACTACTACTACTACTACTACTACTGCTACTGCTACTACTACTCATACTACTACTGCCACTATGGCTGTTTCGAGTGCCCTTATAGCTAGAACGCTTATCTTAGACCATTTCACCGATGCGTTACAACAAAACGGCCTCAGCAAGAAATGTTCGAAGAACATGTCGTACCCTTCCCACGGTGGCCCCACAGGAGAGCCAGGACGCCTCGCCTCTGCTTGAGCTGCGCTGGTACGAATGCGGAGCTTGCCGCCGACAGCTGGACATCCGAGGTGTTCGCTGATTTTGCCCAGGTGGTTCGGAGGAATTGGCGACACATCTCCGCTGGCTCAGAAGGTTCTCTGTCACATCCCTGGGCACCTCCAGCTTTCCATCGGGGGCTCTCGGGCCTCCCCTCGGGCCCTGCAGGCTTCTGGAGGCCCCCTCCCCGTTTCGGACATGGCCCCCCGATCCAGCCCAGCGATGTCCCTCTCGGGAGGCTCCCTTGGCTCCCCAACTCTTCTGGAGGGCGCCGACTGTCCACAGCGCACCTCCTCCTCTCCTCCTCCTCCTCCTCCTCCTCCTCCTCGTCCTCCTCCTCCTCCTCCTCCTTGGCCCGCGGTTGGCCTGGGCAGGACCGGCGCGCGCGGGAAGCCTGGCAGCCCCGAGCCCCTTCCCGCCGCCACTGCCCTGGGCCTCTCCTCCCTGTGTGCCTCCAGCGCGGCCTCCTCCTCCTCCTCCTCCTCCTCCTCCTCCTCCTCGTCCTCCTCCTCCTCCTCCTCCTCCTCCTCCTCCCCTCCTCCTCCTTCCGCCTCCTCTCTCTCCTCCTCTCTCTCCTCTCTCCTCCTCTCTCCTCCTCTCTCCTCCTCCTCCTCCTCCTCTCTCCTCCTCCTCCTCCTCCTCCTCTCTCCTCCTTCTCCTCTCTCCTCCCGTCGCTCCCCCTGGTCTCCTGCCCTTCTGGAGGGCGCACGGCAAGATTCCATGGGCACGGGAAGGTCTACTCGAGGATTGGAAAAGCAGACTGGGATCGCCCGTCTCCGCCCCAGTCCAGTACATGGACAATATATTCGAACCCAATGCAGACGTGAAGGGAATGCTGGTCCCCCCCCTGCCCCCCCACTTCAATGTTGAGATCGGTATGGGTGTTGCTTTGGGGGTTCGAATATTATTGTCTACCCAAGTCCCCCCTTCATTGCCACATCTCCCCAATATTAATTTGGGGGTCCAGGGGACATCTTGTGTCGCAGGGTTCGGATATATTGTCGGTCCCGCTGTGCATCCATGCGTGGCGCGTGCTCCCCCCCATCCTTTGGCTTCTTCTCTTTGTCTCGATCCTTTCCCTTGTCGGGCTCTTTCGCCGACTGACGGATCACGGCGGTACAATCCAGCACGCTCTTGCGCGCGTGGACGCATGATGACCACGGTCAGGTGTAGCAAATTCAGTCTCGCGAGCTGCGGCTGCAAGCAAGAGCTCATTGACTGCACATGGATGTGTTGATTCAGACCCATACACCTGCACATCGTTACACGCCTGACACTCCTGGACATGTGCGATACTTGCTCGCGCAAACATTAGTGAATGGTCCTTGCGGTGTGTACTGCGCGACATGACACGCACGTGCAATTCGCACGAACGGCAACGTGTGACTCCAGTATTGCACGGTCCGCATGGTCAGCAGTGTGTGCTATATACAGCATCGTGCACGCGACGTGCTATTTCATGCGCGAAGGGTCATACTAAGTGAAGCCACACACACAGACAGACAGACAGACAGACAGACAGACAGACAGACAGACAGACAGACAGACAGACAGACAGACAGACAGACAGACAGACAGACAGACAGACAGACAGACAGACAGACAGACAGACAGACATACGGACATACGGAAATACGGACATACGGACATACGTACATACGTACATACGTACATACGTACATACGTACATACGTACATACGTACATACGTACATACGTACATACATACATACATACATACATACATACATACATGCATGCATGCATGCATGCATACATACATACATACATACATACGTACACACACACACACACACACTTTGGCGTTCGCGGCCTCGCGCGCAGCGACGAGGCGGAGACTGTAAGTTAGAGCGAACAAGCAGCGCGCACAACACACTCAGAAGATGGGGCAGGGATCCCAAAAGGATCAAGGGATCAACCATGCCATGCGCATGCACGTCGGTCGGAAGAAGTGGATAGAAACATGAAGTAGGAAGGCGTTGGAAGTAGATTGGGCTTCCGCCCGCCCCTTGAAGAGGAGGGAACAAGGAAACCAACCGATCCTTGAAGTAGGAAGGCGCCAAAAGTAGATCGGGATCCGGGAATCCAACAAGTACCTACTCTCAACGACCAGCGTGTACCCAAGTGCAGGCTTCGAGGGTGGAAGAGCAGCCGACAGTGCATGCGAGGTGGAAGTGGAGGCGCAGTGCACCCAGGCAGGCGGCGACGGGAGGCCAAGAGAAAAGGAGGGAAGGCAGGAAGACAGCAGGACAAAGACACTGTTATGTTGCACTTTCGATGGGCCTTACCTGTCCCGCCGCGCCCCTATCCGCGTCGAATCCGTGTCGAATCCGTGTCGGCTCCATGTCGCACTCGACGAACCCGCGTCGAATCCACGTCGAATCCGCGTCGGCTTCACGCCGAAGCCGCGTCGAGTCCGCATCGAGCCCGCGCCGGGCATCAGAAAAGACACCACTTTGGGGGATAAACAGTGCCAGACGAGACATGCGAGGCGAGCGGGGCGCACCGGGCGCAAACGCACACACTTTTTGCATCGGCGGCTGGGCAGAGGTCGACTGCTCTGGCGGAAAGGCACAAACGCACACACACACACACACACACACACACACTCGCAATCATACATGCACGCGGTGCATGTATCAATTTCAACACGATTTCCCCAATCATGCCACTCTGTCGCGTGCACATCCGCTGCAGAAAAAACGTCAACCGCGAATGCAGACCGCGTCTGCGCGCGGTGGTGCTTGGCATGGGACGTATTGCGCAAGAGATTGCGACTATCGCGGGCCTGGACAGGCATGCCTGCGGTGCATAAACGTTTTCTGCGGGCACGAAGCCGCCGACGCCAAGGACCAGGACGGCCACTGGCAACTTCGAGCGGTCGGGCATCGACCCCACGGGCGCCGCGACGCACACGTTGTTGTCCGCGGGCGGCGGAAACCCGCCGTGCTGATGATCGCTCGACGGAGCGCGCCCACGCGCATTGACGGCCAGTCGCGGACGGATAAAGGGCCACGAAGCCATGCATTTCTTTGGTATGCGGCGGTGGGCGCACGGCGGTCGAAGCCGCGACCTGTCTACGGAGGCGCGAGCCACGCACGGCCGCGAACGAGCACAAGCAGTGGCCGAAGCCACCGCGCACAACACCATTGCCAAGAACAGTTGCGGCGGGTAGGACGACCGCACCGCGGTCGAAGCGGTAACCAGGCCACGGAGGCGCGATCCACGCACGACCGCGAACGAGCACAAGCAGTAGCCGACGCCACCGCACACGGCACCATTGCCAAGAGCAGCTGCGGCGGTGGAACGACCCCACCGCGGTCGAAACGGCAACCCGGCCTGGCCGGTTTGCCGTTCGACCGCGGTGCCTGCGTACACCGTAGTGCCTGCGTACACCATGGTGCACGCCCGCGAGCACCGCGGCACTAACTTGTTGGTGGTGCCCGCGCGCACAGCAAGCTCTGGACCGCGCGCCGTGGCCCAGGCCGGGGCGTTACCTGTGCGGGGGGGGGGGCAGGGGGGGGGTAACACGTGCTATCCCTTGGGTGGATAAACAAAATGGTCTCCCACGGAGGCGCGAACTGCGCACGGCCGCTGAGCAGGCACGCGCCGTGGCCAGAGCCGCCGCGCACGGCGCCAGCGACGAGCGCGGCCGAGCGCGCCACCGCACACCCTGCGGCAGGGCCGGCACGGGCTGCGGGGGCCTCCACGGCGCCCGGCACCCGGTGGCGGGAGCGCTGGCACTGACCCTCGGTGTGAAGGCAGCGGGTCCCGAGGGAAGCGGGTCCTGGACCCCAGAGGCCGACCGGCCATAACTGGGGGAGCTGTGGTCCTTACCCCCCTGGGAGAACCCATCGCGTCGACGATCTCTCGAGAGGGGTGTCGAGATCGATGGGTCCTCCAGGGGGGTAAGGACCACAGCTCCCCCATGTTGTGGCTGGCCTAAGAGGGGATTCCCCAGAAGCAGACCCAGCACAAAGAGCACTCGTCCTCGACCGTCCCTGGGCCAGTGGAGGGCCCGGAGAGCCTGAAACTGGCGGCCAAGACTCAGGGCCCGCTTCCATCAAACCCCGCTCCCTTCATGGCGAGATCCTGGCGGCGATGGTGGAGCGGCCGCCAGCCACCGGCCTCCAGGGTTCCACACGGGTCTGCACCGGGCGCTGCCGAGGCCGCCACCGAGGCGGGCCCCCGCGCGCAGAGATAGGCCCGGGCTCGCGGTACCGCTCAGCTTCGCGGTCCGCCGCAAGGGGGGCCACGTCAGAGGTGGCCCCGCCGATGCAGCGGTGGATGCGCTGGCAGTGGAGCTTGCTCTCAGAGCCCCCCAAGAGGACGAGCTCAGGGGGGGGGCAGCACCGACCTGGACTCTGCGCTACACTGCCGATGGATCGGCGACAGGCCACCGATAGCGAATCCGCCCACATTCCTGGGCGGAGTCGGGCTACATCGGCGATGAATGGGCGGTTGTGGGTCGATGCGTCCTCCCCGAGCCTACTCCCCCGTAACGTTGCTCCTGATCTGGGGGGGACCCCATCCGCTCCTCCTCCTCCTCCTCCTCCTCCTCCTCCTCCTCCTCCTCCTCCTCCTCCTCCTCCGCCACCGCCACCGCCACCGCCACCGCCTCCTCCGCATCCTCATCCTCCCTCTTCTCCTCCTCCTCCTCCTCCGCCTCCGCGTCCTCCGCATCCGCATCCTCCCTCTCCTCCTCCTCCTCCTCCTCCTCCTCCTCCTCCTCCTCCTCCTCCTCCTCCTCCTCCCTCCTCCTCCTCCTCCTCCTCCTCCTCCGCATCTGCGTCTTCCTCCACCACCTCCTCCTCTCCAACTCCTCCTGAATCTTTCCTCCTCCTCCTCCAATTCCTCCTTCCTCCGCCTCCTCCTCCTTCTTCATTCCTTTTCCTTCTAGATAACTCCTTCCTGTCGCACCGCGAGGCCAGTCGGAAGGGCGGGCCGGGCGCTTCGCCGCAGACTTCCTTACCATTTATGGTCCTGAAGCTTTGAATTTGACAACAGCTTCAAAGATGGAGGGCGGGCTGCATCCAAAATGTGGCCCTCGCCATCGCACCGCGCATATTCGTTTACCAATTGCAAGAGTTTCGCGCAGTGAGGGCGGGTGGTTTTCAAAATGTGGCTCTCGCCATATCGCCGCGCACAGCTGTTTTTTTAATGGAAGAGCTTCACGGATTGAAAGCGGTTCCTTTTCAACATGTGGGTCTCGCCTCAGCGCCGCGCACACTCGTCTCAACGATTCGCAAAATATTCACGGATTGAGGGCGTTTCCTTTCCAAAATGTGGCCATCGCCTCAGCGCCGCGCACTTTGTCTTAAACAGTTGCAAGAATGTCACTTGATGGGCGAAGTTCCCTTTCACAATGTGGATATCGTCTTAGCGGCGCGCGTATGTGTTCTACCTTTGCAAGAATTTGACGGATTCTCATGATTAACCAGAAATTGCAATCTGGAGCGATTCTGGAATATCAGGGGGCAACCGTTACGTTGATTCGCGGTGTTGTAATCCCAGGAACGGTGTTCTGGCGAAGTTTAGGATCGTCAAGACACAACAATCAAGCTGATTCGTGGCATTGACATCCCAGGATGGTGTTTTGGCACGCTTCAGGATCTTGAAACGGTTGTCCGCAAACAGGGCACCTCCCTCAGTGGAAAAGAATCAATGTAGGGGCCTATGAGGAGCGAGAATGAGGTAGGGTTGATTCCAATGTCGTGGATGAGTCTTGGCTTTGCTCTGGTCCTCCTCCTCCTCCTCCTCTTCCTCATCCTCCCCCTCCCCCTCCTCCTCCTCCTCCTCCTCCTCCTCGTCCTCCTCCTCCAGCTCCTCCTCTTCCTCCTCCTCCTCCTCCTCCTCCTCCTCCTCCTCCAGCTCCTCCTCCTCCTCCTCCTCCTCCTCCTCCTCCTCCTCTTCCCTCCTCCTCCTCCTCCTCCTCCTCCTCCTCCTCCTCCTCCTCCTCCTCCTCCCTCCTCTCCTCCTCCTCCTCCTCTCTCCTCCTCCTCCTCCTCCTCCTCCTCCTCCCCTCCTCTTCTCTCTTCCTCCTCCTCCTCCTCCATCCCATCCTCCTCCTCCTCCTCTCCTCCTCCTCCTCTCTCTCCTCCTCCTCCCTCTCCTCCCCTCCTTCCCTCCTCCTCTCCTCCTCCTCCTCCTCCTCCTGCCTCCTCCTCCTCCTCCTCCTCCTCTCCTCCTCCTCCCTCCTCCTCCTCCTCCTCCTCCAGACCCGGGTCAGCAGGAAACCAAAAACTGCAATGCAGGAAAAAAAAAACTGCACCGCAGGTCTTCGCAGACCCGGGTCAGCCAATACGCGCGGCCGCCTCGCGGCCACGAGCGGCTCCCTAACCCGGGTCAGCCAGAGGGGGTCTTCGCAGGATCCTGCAGGATCTGGCGCCCTGGCTGACCCCCGTCTGTATTGACCCCCGTCTCAAGGCTCCCGAAGACAGATCGGGTGTAGGGCTCCGGTCGTGATCTGTCCAGATGTTTGCATTTGGCCGCTTGGCCGTACCGCTACTGGGCATTCGCCTCGCAGGATGTGGCTTGCATAGGGTGTGGTTCGTAACCCGCCCCTTGGGGGGGGGGGGTCGGGCGAGAAACTCGACGGAGATCTCTGCCGCGCTCCGACGAGGGCTCATCAAACCTTGGGCGCAGCGGGGTGACCCCTGAGCCCCCACGGGACAGATCGCAAACCACACCCTGGCGTACCAAGTAACCATAACCATTCTAGTCGCCGATGCGTTCCAGGCTCCCAAGACCGTGCGGTGACCAACCGCGTGGTGACCTCGAAATCCCAAGAGACCTCACCGCGCGGTTCGTCACCATAAGGTCTGGGGACCTCCGATGCTCTGGTTGCCCGAGACGTCCTCGGAGAACGACCGCGTGGTGCCCCCGAACCCCCACTGACTCACCACGCGATGTGTTCACCAAACCGTTTGCGGGCCAGCGAGGGCGGTGTGCTGGATAGCTTTCTGCCGCCTGGCCCTACCGCCGCGCGGACTGCATGTGCGCCCCCAGGGGTCTGGACCCCATCCCCGTGATCGTGTTTTCTGGCTGCTTTCGGCCTGCAGGGGCCCTCGCTGGGCCCCAATACCATCAAAAACAGCTCGGAATGACAAACCGGCCTTTGAGGAAGGGTCGGGTCTTCCGGGGACCCCGTACTTGGAAAAAATATGGCACCGCATGTCCGGGTTCCTCTGGCGGAAGCACAAGCGGCAGAAACATTATCTTTCGGAGGTCCGCGCGGATCGTCAAACATGTTTATTTTCGATTTTTTCTCAGTTGAACATCTGCTTCGCGGGCCGTTCTCTTATGGTCCCTGGGGCCGAACGTGGCTCCCTGGATGGTGAACAAATGCCACAAGACCAGCCGCCGTGATTTCTTTTTCGCGGCGCCCCGAAGTCAGGGTGCGCACATAATGTTGACGTGCATGGCTCAGCCATTGGAACGACGAGTCGAGGATTGCAACATAACTCGGTAGCTCGACCCCCAGTCAGACAGGTACACAGAAGGCGGCTGCGATGCGGAGTCCCCACAGAGGCGCAAACAACAAAGCTGGAGATGGCTGCCTGCTTCGGCGTTGCAGGCTTGGTCTCTTTTGCGCGATCGTCGTCCTCCTCCACACGCAGGGGAGAAAGTACCGGAGGGAGGGGGAGAAGGACACCTAAACCTCATTCCTCGAGCTTCCTACATCAGACTATGCACGATGTTACTTACGTCCATCAGTTGTCTATTTAGCGAAGAAACACCATGATCAAGATGTTGCGGGATCTTATCGACGCCGATCTCGGTCCTGGTCCATGCTAGCCATCGCCGATTCGCCAGGATGTCCACGGATTGGCGATGACCCGGATGGGCGATGACCAAGACCGACACCGACGATTCCGCGTCCATGTTCGGAGGCAGACGTGGGATGCACGTGGCCGCGTTGGATACAGCGGGCGGCGGAAAAAGAAGAAGAATAGTAATAATTCGCCGGCCCAACGGGCCAGAGGCGTGCTAAGATCTCCGGTAACTGCTCAACAATATTTCTAGTTCGCGCGCGCGGGGCAGGCCCTGGGGGTCCCCGGACGAAAAGTACCCCGGCAAGGTCCCGGCAAGGTCCCGGCAAGGTCCCGGCAAGGTCCCTTTTCGGAGCCCAGGAGGGCTCCAGACGGTCCAAGAGGGGCCCGAGAAGCCCTCCAAACGGTCCAAGAGAGCCGGGAGACGCCGAAATATCACCCCCAAGCGCCTACGATGGCCTCAAGACGGCCCAACAGGCCTTCAAGACGCCCCAAGAGGTCCCTAAGCGGCGTCCCAAGAGGGCTCCCACAAGCAAAAATCGCCCCATTCCCTTCGGAAAACGTCCATTTTTAACATATCCGCCTCTTCGTCTTTCACACCTTTCAAGGCGGTCCAAGAGGCCCCCAAGATCACCCCAAGACGGCCCGAGAGACCCTCAAGACCGCTCAAAGACGGCCCAAGAGCGCTCCACGAAGGCCCAAGAAGGGCCCGAGAAGCCCTCCAGACGGTCCAAGAGAGCCGGGAGACGCCGAAATATCACTCCCAAACGCCTACGATGGCCTCAAGACGGCCCAACAGGCCTTCAAGACGCCCCAAGAGGTCCCTAAGAGGTCCCTAAGCGGCGTCCCAAGAGGGCTCCCACTAGCAAAAATCGTCCCATTCCCTTAGGAAAACGTGCATTTTTAACATATCCGCCTCTTCGTCTTTCACACCTTTCAAGGCGGTCCAAGAGGCCCCCAAGATCACCCCAAGACGGCCCGAGAGACCCTCTAGACCGCTCAAAGACGGCCCAAGAGCGCTCCAAGAAGGCCCAAGAAACCCTCAAGAACTCTTTTTCGGAGCCCAGGAGGGCTCCAAATCGGTCCAAGAGGGGCCCGAGAAGCCCTCCAGACGGTCCAAGAGAGCCGGGAGACGCCGAAATATCACCTCCAAGCGCCTACGATGGCCTCAAGACGGCCCAACAGGCCTTCAAGACGCCCCAAGAGGTCCCTAAGCGGCGTCCCAAGAGGGCTCCCACAAGCAAAAATCGCCCCATTCCCTTCGGAAAACGTCCATTTTTAACATATCCGCCTCTTCGTCTTTCACACCTTTCAAGGCGGTCCAAGAGGCCCCCAAGATCACCCCAAGACGGCCCGAGAGACCCTCAAGACCGCTCAAAGACGGCCCAAGAGCGCTCCAAGAAGGCCCAAGAAACCCTCAAGACGGTCCAAGAGGCCCCAAGACGGCCCCATGATTGAGGTCCACAGGGGCAACCTGAACGGAAATTTTGAGCCTCCCGCCCAAACACGCCCCCGAAATGCCCCTACAAGCCCCCAAGTAGCCCCACGAAGCCCCCAAGAGAGCCCCAAGAGGCCCCCAACAGGCCGCAAGAAAGCCCCAAGAGGCCCCCAAGAGACCCCCAGGAAGCTCCCAGGAGGCCCCCAAGAGGCCAGGCAGACCCCCCCAAGAGACCACCAAGAGGGCCCACCCAGAGCCATCCACGAGGCCTCCCAAAGTTCCCAAGAAGCTCCCACGAAGCTTCCAAGGGCTCCCAAGACCCCGCGATGGCACAATACGGGCCGGCGGAATGAGCGAAGCGATTCTATAATAAGAATAAGAAGAAGAGGAAGACGGAGCGCGCGGACAAGGGGGAGCACACTCAGAACGTGCAGTCCTTGCACGCGTGTGTGTGTGTGTGTGTGTGCCCTTGCACGTGTGTGTGCGTGTGCTGGAGCGCATGCGCAGCGCGGAAGCGGAAGTACTCCTCCCCCAACACGCACCTGCCTAGAGGAAGAAACACGCCATAAACATGAACTGTTGGCAAGCCGCGCGGATTTCTCGAATCTGCGCCAGACCCCCCCTCCCTGGCGCGCGGAGCGCGCCAGGGGCGGCGCGGGAGGCGCCGCCAGGGGGGGGCCCAGCGCGGATCCAAGAGATCCGCGCGGAGCGCCAAAGTTTATGCTTATGGCGTTTTCTTCTGTTCTTCGAGGCATGAACGTACACCTCCCCCCAACCCGCACCTACCCCTTCTTCTCCTCGGCTGTCCTGCCGGTTGTCCGAAGACGCGCCGCTGCCCCTGGACTCCGACCTCAGCGGTGGGGGGCTGGCCATCGTCCCCTCGATCTCGTCCACGAGCCTCTGGCGCTTCTCCTCGCAGATGTCCTCTTCGAGGAGTTCGGGCGAGGGAGGGAGCTCGAGGAGCAACTCCTGGGAGGAGGGAGGAAGAGGAGGAGGAGGAGGAGGAGGAGGAGGAGGAGGAGGGGAGGAGGAAGAGGAGGAGGAGGAGGGGGGGAGGTCTTCGTGAAAACGAGTAAGGGTTACCAAGCCCGAGTAAGACTCCATTAAACAAGACTGAGCCGTGGATTCAACCGGATGGAACGGAATTGCAAACAACCCGCACAATAAGGACGCACGGCAAGGAGGCAAGGGCCTCGGAAGGACATGTCGACACTTTGCAAGCGGGGCGGCCAGCGAAAGCGGCCAATGATGGGCCCCATAAGGAGGAGGAGGAGGAGGAGGAGGAGGAGGAGGAGGAGGAGGAGGAGGAGGAGGGAGGAGGAGGAGGAGGAGGAGGTCCTCCTCCCCCTCCTCCTCCTCCTCCTCCTCCACTTCCTACTCCTCCTCCTCCTCCTCCTCCTCCACTTCCTACTCCTCCTCCTCCTCCTCCTCCTCCTCCTCGGAAAGTCGCTCATCCTTACTATGCGGGTTGACTGAAAGCCTGACGGAGCGGGATTAATGCCAGAATTGGCCGGCTTCCGGCCACCGAGACGCCAGCTCCGATGCTGCATTTCGCGCCTCCCACGAGCTGCATCCTGTGGAAGCCATGCGCAGCCAATTCCTTTGTGACTCCCTCGCGATCTTGCAAAGGCCAGCCAGAGCCAGCTTATCCATTGGTGTGCAGGTATGCTTGGGTCGGGCATGTTCTCCTACAGGGAGATTTTCGACGAAAAACAGAAAGTCTGTCAAAAACAAAACAAAACACAAAAAATGCTAAAACATACTCGAAACCAAAGTGCTCAGATTACTGTTTGACTATTCGTGAGCATTCCCCCTGTAGAGGGACAGGCCCGACTTCAAGGTATGCAGGGGGAGCAGGGGCCACCGAGACAAAGGAATCCTCTTCTCGGGACTGCGTCTCCCAGCCGAGAACAAAAGAACGTTGTGCGGATGCAAGGATGTGCGGTCCTGTAGACGCGACGGCTGAGTAACACCTCCCCCACATAATGGAGACCAGTCCACAAGCAGCCTTCTACAAAAAACCCAACCCCCAGACCCCAGGACGTCCATCGATTCTTGGGGTGGGCACGCCACGCTTCCCACAGCAAAACCATCGAAACCCAAGAAACCCAGGGCACCCTGGAGGCGAGCAGGGTGTTCCTTGGCATGGGCCCCCACTGTAACACCTGCCCCATACACACCGTGTCTCCTCGTGTGGCCGCCCTCTGTGGAGTCTTCCCGAGGCCACCGATGTGGGTCTCGGGAGATCCCCGGAGGCCCCTGGAAGTCCCGAAAGGTCCTCGCTCCCCGCCACCTCCTGATGCATGCGGAAACCAAAACGTACGAATACTGGGCCCTCAAGCCTCGAAAACAGCCTCCCCCTCCCTCAGGAAGGCCTACCCACCCTCACGACCCTTCCTCTCTCCAGCAGGTAATGCCCCGCCAGCCCCACCATCTTGGGCGAGGCTGCTTAGGCAACGAGCAGCCAGGATGGAGGGGGGGGGGGACGGGCGACATGTAGGCGATCTGAGCCCACGCTCCCCTGCAGAACCAGACCAGGCCCTGGCCATTTGAGGGTGACATCGCGATGTGGCAGCCAAGCGCCAGTTACAGCAAAGAGCAGCCTCCGCGCGGTCGTAAGGAAGGCTGAAGAAGGAACGAAAGGGACGGTACACCACGGGACTTCGGCCAAAGGAAGCCTCCACAAGGGACGCTCACAAGGAACATCCACCAACAACCCGAGGATGTCGATACATCCAGGGTCTGGGGGGCGGGACGGGGCGGACGGGGTGATACGGGTAGAGAATGGCACGGGGCGAAGGCAAGCGGAAGTCCTCAATGGCGTCTTGATGCAGGCCTTGCATGACGAGGCTTGCTCGCAGCTCCATGACCTCACTGCCGCGCTCACACCGTGACATTTCACGCTGCTGCTGCTGCTGCTGCTGCCTTGCATCCCCCAGCTGGCGCGCGTGCCCCTCTGGAAAGGTTTTCGGGGCTCGTGGCCAACACCTGAAGCAGGGAGGAGAGAAGCAGCTGCAGCGCCCACATGGCGGGACGGACGAGGAGGGAGAGGAGCTGCAGCAACAGCAGGACGAGGAGGATGAGGCGGAGACATGGAAGACGACGGCGTCGAGGAGCAGGACAAGGACTCCGCACGAGCTCAATCGAGGGGGGCGGAGTCCGACGGGGCGCCTGGCGTCGACCCCGCCTTGCGTGTGTACACTGCGGTGCCTGTGGACACCACAGGAGCCGCACGCACCACAACGCATGGCGAACATTTGCGCCACAGCGCTTCCGTGCACCTCCAAGGTCCCGCCGGGGCCCAAATCTGGAAAATTCCTGGGAGAGCGGCCCGAACGGATCACATTAAATCTGTAACTTAGTTGTAATTATTGTTTTTTTTGACCCCAGGTGCGGTTCCCTGGTTTTTGGCCGACCATATTTACACCACAGCGCCTGTCTCGCGTGTGCAGCGACGCCTTTGCACACCACAGCTGCTCGTGTACCCCGCAGCGCCTGTCTACACAACAATGTCTATGTACACCACAATGCCTGTGTACACGACAGAAGCCGTGTGCACCGCAGCGCCTGTGTACACACCACACACACTGCCTGTGTTCACGACGACGCCCATGTGCACCACGTTTGCTGCTTCAGCACCATACTCGTGCACCACAGTTCCAGTGCACCAAAAATTCTTGTGCGTACACTTCCAGGGCCCCCGGCGGGACCGAACTCCATGAAATCGCGGAGGATCCAAACGTACCAAATCCAATATGTACGCTGTGTGTGATTATTCATTTTTCTTGCGCAGGGAACGGTCCCGTCTGTTGGGCCCACAACGCCTGTACACCATAGCAAATGTGTGCACAGCAGCGCATGTGTACACCGCGGCGCACTTGTACACAACAAGGTGTGGTACACCGCAATGACCGTGCACCAGTGCTTCTGTACACCACCATGCCTGGGATGCGTGCGTGAATGAGAACTGATATTGCAGGAACAGTTGAGCAGACCACGACGCCTGCCTTCATCATGTTGCTTGGTGCATCACGATGCCTGCGTGCTCCGCGCGACCTGCGTACACTCATGCTTGCGTGCACCACAACGCCTGCGCGTACACGACAGATCCTGCTGCAACCACAGCAAATGCGCGCACCAAATCGCCTCGCTGCCTGTGCACACTGGAATGCCTCGCGCTGCTCACGTGCACCTCCAGATGCCTATGGACGACGTCGGTCGTCGTCGGTCGTCGGTCGTCGTCGTCGTCGTTCGTCGTTGTTTGTCGTCGTCTGTCGTCGTCAGTCGTCGTTTGTCGTCGTCTGTCGTCGTCGTCGTCGTCGTCGTCGTCGTCGTCGTCGTCGTCGTCGTCTCACCGTGCCACTCCGAGCCACAACGATTCTCCAACGTGCATCCAAAACACCAGCATGCTGTAGCGAACGCCATCGTACAATTGAACACAACGCTCCCTGCGACCTCCCTGCGCCCCCCCCTGGACCTGCACAGCCGGCTAGGTTAGCTTATGCTGGGGGGGGGGGGGGGGCGAACACAATACCCCAGGTTATCGCTGGACCCCCAAATACTGTCTAGTAATATCCACAATGTGCACCTGCGGAGGAGGAAGAAGGACCAGGAGGAGGAGGAGGAAGAGGAGGAGGAGGAGGAGGAGGAGGAGGAGGAGGAGGAGGAGGACGAGGGGGGGCAGGATGATACCTGGAGGAGGGGGACGGAGGAGGAGGAGGAGGACGAGGAAGAGAGGGGATGAGGAGGAGCGCGAGAGAGAGAGGAAACCCAAAGCGAGGAGCAGGGGCACCGCCTCGAGCTCGACGTCCTGCCGGGACATCTTGCCCGCCGTCTCGGCCGTGGCGAGGCCGCTCGCCCCGCCCGCCGCGGCGCCTCCCCTCCCGGCGCCCTCGCCGAGCGTCGGGGACCTACGGTCAACACATATACAACCATACCAGAAGGACGCGGAGTAGGGATGCAAGGGCCTTGGAAGGCCGTGCCGACACTTTGCGAGCGGGGCGCGGCCAACGACGGCGGCCAAGAGGATGGGCCGAAGGGGAAAGACGCAGGGGCAACCTTGGAGAACTGCTCATCCTTACTATGCAGCCTGACTGTGCTGACCCGGGTCAATCCAAACCCGGGTCAGTCTGGCCTTGCAGGATCCTGCGAGATCCTACAAGATCATGCACCCTCGAGCGCCGAGCTCCCTCGCCGCCGGCGCCGTCGTGAGGGGCAATGTCAGCAGAGGCCTCACAGATAGGGTCCGAGATGGCGCACTTTGTTGGTTCAGGGTTGCTGGAACCCGCCACTAGTGAGCAAGATGTCATGATGGTGCTACTTTCCGAGATGTCCCTGATAACCTAGATTTCCGCATGGTCCACACTCTTGGTCCCCCAAGTGGGGTCAGAGTAATTGGGGTCGGAGGATCGCGCCGCACTGCCGATGCATCGGAGATGCGGCTCCATGTGGAGCCCGATCTCCACGCCGATGGTGCCAATGCTTCGCCGACGTCGGCAGTACATCGCCAGTACATCTGCGGGCGGTACATCGCCAGTGCCTCTGCGATGCATCGGCGATGCGGCGCGATCCTTCGACCCCATCTGAGAAGCCTCCAATACGGAGGGGGACATGCCCAGCTAAGGAAACGAACTCTATACACCGACGCGTTTTCTGGCCCTGTACTGAAATCTTCGGCCAGGAAGGCGGATCCTGCATACGGGATCCTGGTGTATACATTTTTCGTTGATCCCCGGGAAACGGGAAAAAGTTTACACCACACCGCCCCGACGTCGTCCCCGACCCTCAAGAAGTCCTGGGGATGTATATGCTGCAGTTTCCGAGGGAAGGTTCCCTGACCCCCTGGCGTTATGGAAGAATCGCGACGGCGGGCTTTTGGCCAGTTTGGGCATGTGGGAGGCCTCCCCCGGCCCTGGGACCGTCAAATGACGGCAACTCGGGACGAAACACCGATCCCAGGGAATGGGTATGGGTCGAGGTGTCGGAAGGCAAGGATCGACCTGAACCGTGTTTTTCGGCTTCGTTTTGTTTTCGTTTTTCCTCGTTGTGTCCCCAATCAGCCTTTGCTGCAAAACGAATTCAAAACGAAAACGGATCACGAAATCGCCAAAACACTGTTTAGGTCGACCCTTGTCGGAGGGTCCACGGCCCACGTCATGAACAAATCATGGCGTCGGGGGTCGGGAGGGGGGGGCAGGGCGAGCCCAAGGGGTAAAACATATCGAGCTGAAATTGGCGACACGTCGTCGATAGGCTGGCGGTGCACTCATCATGCTACCAGTAGGTCGGGCATGTCCCCTCACAGGCGGACCCTGGGCGAAACGTAAAAACTAGTCGACAAATACTCAAAAATAGTCAAGGTGGTCCAACCATTCGTCCCCTGACTATCTTTCTACCATTACTTCTTATAACTTGTGAAGAAGGAACGCTGGATAAGAGCATGGACCGATGGGGCTCCTTTGGCCGCGACGAGCCTCGGCCACGGACAGGATATCTCCGACCCCTCATCGAGATTAAGAAGAGCCCCTCCTGCGCCAAAGGTGGTCCTTACGGTGGGGGCCGATCCACAAGAAACCGTCCACAAGAAACCCAACGCTGAGACCCCAGAACGTCCATGGATTTGTGGTGTGGGAACGCCACGCTCTCCACGGCAAAACCCTCGAAACCCAGGGCACCCTGGAGGCAAGCAGGGTGCTTCTTGGCATGGGCCCCCATTTTATTTCAGCGTCTGGACTGCAGCCCCTGGACAGGAGCGAGCTGGGGTCGATGCACCCCCCCTGGCCTGAGCCTGCCCCCTCCCACGGCGTTGCCCCTGAGGTCGCCGTCGCCGCCGCCGCCCCGGATCTCCGGCGACGTGACTCTTCCAATCTCGCGGCTCGCTTCGTAATCCCGGCCCGGGGGAGCCGTTTTGAGAGGCCTCCTGGATGGGGTCCGAAACGGTTGGGGCGAAGGACTGCGCCGCATCGTCAATGCATCGCCGATGTGTCGGCGATGCATCGGCGATGCATCGGTGACGTCGGCAACGCATCGGCGACGTCGGCGCGGGGAAACACGGTCTCCACATCGCGCCGCAGCGTCGATACATCGGCGATGCATCGGCGATGCGGCGTGATCCCCCGACCCCATCTACTCGGACCCCATCTGGGAGGCCTAGAGTTTTCGGGGCGGGGGGCCAGCAGAAATGGATCCGGGGCGCAAGCCTGCCTCCAGGGAACGGGTCGGGACCGCTTTCCAGCTGCCGCAGATGGACAATAATCTTGTGGATGCCACGACAATGAACACCCTAACAGTCCGATCATTGAATCTAAAATGTGTTCAAAATGTCGGATAATTGCTCTCAACATGTTTTAAACATGTTTGTTACATGCTTAAAGCAAGTTCGAGACATCTGGAAATCATTTGGCAACATGCTCCCTCTGCGTTGATCGTCCTCCACAACAAGAATCCACATCGTCGAATGCCTGGGGCCCCCGGGGGCCTCCGCCGCCGGGGAGACCAACAAAAAGGTACCGTTACCGCTGCTCCCAGGAACCCTCTCCCGGGGTGCGTTCTGACCAGGATTTCGAGGCAAATCCGGCGGTGGCGACGAGGGCCTCCTCCTCCTCCTCCTTCTCCTCCTCCATCTCCTCCATCTCCTCCTCCTCCTCCTCCTCCGAATGTTTCTGAAGGGTTCAGGGAGGGAGGGATGGTCGGGAGTCTTCGATAGGGCTCTGCCGTTTCCCAGGGGGGTTCGGATGCCCGTGAAGGTTGTCTGAAGCCTGCGGAGGCCTCCAGAGCGGGGGGTAGGTGAAGGGAGGGATGGGGCCCGTGCGGAGTGCGGAAGAGGGAGCTGGAGCTTTTTTGCTGCACCCTCTTGCGATATCTGGGGAAGCCAAAACATCTACCGATACCGCTGCTCCACGGACCTCTGCCGGGGTGCGTTCTGACCAGGATTTCGGGGCGAATCCAGCGGTGGCGACGAGGGCTACTCAAGAGGCCCCAAACGTGGGAAAACAAGCGAAGGGCAGCGGTGTGGGTACCTCTTCCTCCTCCGCATTTCGGGCGTCGCTCGGGGCCTGCAACGTTACTACCTGCGCTGGCGCAGCTAGGGGGAAGACTGTGCCCGTGCAGCCACTCCCGGGCAACACGGGGCGCGCATCGGGGAAATGCTCGATGGGGTCGGCCCTGGAAGTGGGCGTCACCGCGGATAGTTAGAAAGAACAGGCGCCAGGGGCCGGGACAGAGCTCCAGCTCCCTTTCCGCACTCCGCAGGGGCCTCCCCCCCTCCCTCCACCGCCCCCCCCCCCCCCCCCCTCTGGAGGCCAGACCTCTGGAGGGCAGACCTCTGGCAACCTTCACGGGCATCCGAATCCCCTTGGGAAACGGCAGCGCCCTATCGAAAACGCCCGACCATCCCTCCCTCCCTGAACCTTTCAGAATTATTCGGAGGAGGAGGAGGAGGAGGAGATGGAGGAGGAGGATAAGGAGGAGGAGGAGGAGGAGGAGGAGAAAGAGGAGATGGAGGAGGAGGAAAAGGAGGAGGAGGAGGAGAAAGAGGAGATGGAGGGAGGAGGAGGAGAAAGGAGGGAGGAGGAGGAAAAAGGAGGAGGAAGAGGAAAAGGAGGAGGAGGAGGAGGAGGAGGAGGAGGAGGAGGAGGGAGGAGGAGGAGGGAGGAGGAGGAGGAGGACGAGGAGGAGTCTCCCTCCCTCGTCCGACCCTCCCTCCCGCCATCCAGCCCTTTCCGAAAACATACGCCCTTAGGCTGGACGCCGACCGCGGACATGCCTGCGCCAATGCCCATTCGATCTCCCACGTGTTGCAACCCAGCTGGCCGACTCCAGAAACCCTGGATCCACACACGTTGGCGTCTCACTATTATTAACAGGCGAAGAACGGTATAAAATAAGTTTCTTCGCTGTCGGGGGCGCCCGACAGCGAAAAAGCTTATTTTATACCGTTCTTCGCCCGTTGATATTATTTCCCCCGCTTCCCGCCAGCCTTCTGCCAGCTTCCGCCGGCAGAGCCGCCGATACCATATGCTCCCGCCGGCCTCCCGCCGGCGGGGAAGGGACGTCGGGTCCTCAACCCCTCGAAGGCTGGGCCCTTTTCTGGAGGAGGATTGAGGAGGAGGAGGAGGAGGAGGAGGAGGAGGAGGAGGAGGAGGAGGAGGATTTAGGAGGATTGAGAGGCGAAGGAGTAAGAGGAGGATGCGGAGGCGATGGGTCCCGAACCTCTGGCATCCTGTTCTGTTTTGGCGCCGTGGGCCCTTGGAGCTCCCGGCCCCGCCCAGGGAGGGAGGCTCTCCGTCACGGGCTGTTCCCTGACAGGTCCCTTGAAGCCCCGGGGCGGCCTCCGGAGGCACAAGTGGCGAAGCGGAGTTGCCGCCGTGTTGGGTGCCGGTGCTGGGCGCCCGCAGGCCTGGGCCCTATCCTGAATCTTGGCGGATTGCACGAGGTGGTGCGGCGAAGCGGGGGCTTTCTGAAAAGGCAGAGGGCTTTTTGCGAACGGAGGTTACGAACCGAAGGGTCGAACCTACCGTAGGATCCCGTTGGTAGAGGACGAGGTGAGAGAGTGAAAGCGTCCTTTTCCCTCTCACGGCCCGATCGTCAGCGGGCTCGATGTCCAATACCGGAGCCGAGAGGATTGCAGGATGGAAGGGTAGGAGGAGGCGAGGAACGGTCTTCACACACACGCACACACTCTTCCCGGGCGGGGCCCGGGGGCTCGACGCAAGAGAGGGCCTCTCGGAGGGCGGGGGCCGCTGGCAGGAACCCTCGGCCTCCTCTCGTCTCGGCAGGCTGCCCCTCCCTGGTGGCAGCCCCTCGGGCGCGCTGCCAGGGAGGCTCGTGAGCGGGCGTCCGAGAAGCGCCCCCGTCTCCTCAGGAAGGCCGGGCCC